CGCCCCGCCTCTGGCTCATCCCCGCCACCCCCGCCCCCGTCAGGGAGCCACCACATGCTTTTATTGGGGTGTGAGCCAGTGCGGCAATTTATGGCCCCCCCGAGTCGAACAGCTTAAAACGTCGTTATGATGTTTTCACCGTGCCCAGAGATAAGGGGGTTTGTTACGCCTCTATTACTGCAGCGTAGGGACGGAGCAACGCCTCTCGCGGTAGCGATTCCCTCGCACCTGACGGGCACTATCTTTCCCACTTCAGTTCAAATCTGCAGATTTAACTGATTAAAAACGGCGAATCTATTATTGTTTTTTTGAAAATATTTGTCAGTACCTTTTATGCGCTGCGAGTGGATCTTCTACATTTCCTCCTGCTTCTTCCCACCCCTTTGTGTCTTCCACCCGCGTCTCCAGCAGGTCACGTTTTCGGTGAGAAGTTGGCTCAGTTTTTGGGCGGACGAGTAGGGTGCGGGGAGGAGGAAGGGGTGGCTGAGGGGAGGGGTTGGAAGGGGGTGGCTGAGGGGGATGGCCGAGGGTGCTGGGGCAGTAGAAGAGGTCGCTTCCTCGATCGTGTCGGTGGGTAGTGGGGAACGTGAGGGATTTCGGCAGGGATCGCGGACACAGCCCCTTCCCGCCACCCCAACCCTGTTCCACACCAACGGGACTTGTGGCACAACTCGTTTTGGAAAGTCATTTAATTCTTTAAACAAAAAATCAGCCAGAAAAACGAAAGAATAAAACTCTATCCTGAAACTTGAATGAGGCACGCCAAGAGCAAGCTTTGGCCGATGGAAGTTGCCGGACAGACGGCAACACTATTCTCTCCACAATATTGCACGTGGCATACCGCAGCAGCAGCCACCGCGACCGCCCACCAGGCCAAACGCGTCAGACTGTGTGGCGTAGACAGTCGCTAAAGCGGACACCTTAAAAAAGAGAGGAATAATTAATTTCAAAGTTGCCCTGCGAGAGTCGTTGGCGTCAGATTGACTTTAGAACGAGCGGTATCGTGTTTGATTCGTTTGAAATTAGTAGTCGGGAGCAGGTAGCCGTGCGCGCTCCAGCGCTCTGGCGCAACACCCTCTGAGCCGTGATGGGAGGTAAACAGTGCATTGTCGCGCGGCCACCCCCCTCCTCCCTCCCCGCGCCGCACCCCTGCACCCATGCCGCCGGTGAATCGCGCTCTCTGAAATTTATGACTCTCTCTCTCTCTCTCTCTCTCTCTCTCTCTCTCTCTCTCTCTCTCTGCTGGCTCCCTCTCTCACACGTCGCGGTCTGCAGAAGTCTGACTCCGTCTCCGACCCCCGCCGTACTCTAATTCGCTGTAACTATCAGTCAAAAACATGATACTTCCCATCCCTATTATTTCTTTCACGGCCTGTGCGTCGTGACCACTATGTGGTCACGCTCCCATGTTAAGTCAAAGGCATCAAAAGTGAGCCTCAAGCAACGTGTCAACAGTGACTCACTCAGCCTTTGCCTTCAGCAGCATCAGCTCCTTGGGCCTTGAGCCTCGCCGGCTAATAATTGAGGTCGACCTCGCTCGTCCGGCCGGCCGGAAAATGTGACAGGCGGTGAACGGCGTCGTGGTAGTTTACTTCCGCACTCCTCGGAGCCACAGTGGAGCCACAGTGGAGCCACCGCGGAGGAGACGAGTCGAGACTGCAGTCGTGAGCAAATTGTGGGCCATATCAAGGGGAAGGAGGGAGGCTGCGAGGGGATTCGGGAAAGCGGGGAGGGGGGAGG